GATTACGTTGATTACCCGAGGTCCTTCTACCTATGGCTGTTGTGCTGGGGAAGGTGGGGCTGCTGGTGCTTGAGGCAATCTTGTCCGTTCTTCCCTTATTCTGGTTTCATCAACAAGGTCTCTCAGATATCCTTGTCTTACCAGGTCTTCCAAATATGTTTTTAGGGTTCTGCAACCCTAAGTCGTATGTCCATCTGCATTGTGGTAGGCACAATGCCTACCAATGTTTCTTCCCATGAACTCTCCCAGAGTCCTTTCTGGCGTTCTGAAATAGGGCTGGTTTCAAATTTGATCCAGGACTTTGGGAATTGGGATCCGAAACACGGTTGTTACTGCTTGTGTGGCCCTTAGTTCTGCCTCTTGCCTGCTCGTTCCATTGTTACCTCAGCCTTGCTTCGGCGAGCCGTTCCCTTTCTCTAGTTTTATCTCCCTATTCGCCAATGTGTCTTCTTCGGCTCTGGCATACTTCTCGATTTTTGCCATGAGCTCTTCCATGCTTTTTGGCAAAGTTTTTGCCAAAGATTTCCGTAGTGGACAATTGTCTTTTAGGCAGTTCTTGAATGATACGACTGCTACTTCTTGATTACATTCTGGTATTCGATTGAATACCTCATAGTATCTTTTTGCATAGGCCTTAAGGCCTTCATCATTACTGATTCTCAAGGCCATCAATGCATCCACCCTCAATGGCTGTAGCTTATTTGTCACGAACCGGGCCACAAACATCTCGGCCAGGCCTTCCCAAGTCTTCACGCTTCCCTTCGGTAGTTTATGGAACCAATCTGATGCAATCTCTCCGAAGGATGAGGGAAATACTTTGCAGAGCAACAGCTCGTTCCCACTATACAATGCCATTGAGTTCAAATATAGTCTAACGTGGAAGTTGGGGTCTGACTTGCCGTCGTATATTTGAAACCTCGGCATACTGAATCTCTTTGGTGCCTCGAACCTGTCTAATTCCACCGAGAATGGTGTTCTCGGCTTATCTGGAGATGTTACCTCGGCTTCGGCATTCTGCTGCTTCCTCTTGAGATAATCTCTTAAGTCTTCTTTGCTCCGCCCAGGAGCTCGGCTATCTTTTGACTTCAGTCTTTTCGGTATACCGCTCTCGGCCTTGTGGTGAGCCCTTTTCGACCTTTCTTCATGAGTTGTGTCGAAGCACAGTGCCTGCCCCTGAACAATCCGATGTCCTCTAGGGTCTGCCTCCTTTGCGTGTTGCGTCCTTCGTGATTCTTCTCTTCTTGGCTCCCTTCGTCCGACCTCCCTGGAAGGTCGATGAGAATGTCTTTCGCTCCTGTTGTGCTGGGGGCTGTGTGGGTAATTTTTTTATCACACTGCCCGCCTAGTAATCAGTTGGAAAAGCACTGGCAGAATAGATGGCCTCTAGCTAACCTGCAACAGAAAGAGAAGTCTTTGGCGGTGGTTTAACCACCCGGGGGCACTCCGACGATCAAGTCAGTATATCTCTCAAAGATAATCAAGTGCTAAACTTACTGCTCAAAGTATAAAATTGCGTATCTTAGACCCACGGGGGTTCCTCTCTTTTATAGTCAACTTCAATCTTAATCCCACTAGAAGCCTGACTTCTATGGATTCCCATTCAGTGCTTACTTTGGATTTCTCAAGAGATAAAGATAAACTCCCTAAGAGCTTTATCCTTATCTTAGCAAAGTTTTCTTTTTACTCTAGGACTCTTGCCCCCCTATCCATTTATCTTGGATTCCGATATCTTCGGAGATAATCTCGGCCTTGCCGAGATAACCTCGGCGTCACAACCAGGACACGTGGCACCTTGGCTGATACGTCGGCGTCACCCCTGCCACGTGTTGGTATTTCAGAAAATAAATCCCCACAGAAACAATCATTAAAGTCGTCAATCATAGCAAAAATAGCAGAAAGTTGCCTAGAATAGCAAATCTAAATTAAGTTATTACATAGTGTGAAGTAATATGCTATATTAGGAAGGGATCAACAAATATTACTCACGTCACAATCCAATCCAAGCATTTCTAAGACAAATAAAAAGTAGATTCAACATGATTGCTGATATACTTGGATTGGCACCCAACACTTGAACCCTAAACAAGTACAAATGTTGTGGTGGGAGATAACTAAATGGTGTCACAATGCTAGATGAAATTTAATTGTGATACATTGTTTTCTTTTTTTTTATCAAGTGTTAGAGTAAATTATGAAAATATGGGCATGACCATAGCAAACTTTTGTTTAATTGCTATGCACAGTACAATATTCCAATACATATAATGTTTTAACAAATATTTCATAAAACCTATGAAAAATGCCAAGAAGATGAAAGGGCTCTTCAAATGTGATGCAGGAGCATAATTGACAGCAGATTTTAAGTTAATTAATATTTAAGTAATATCTTGTTTTGTTTTCTAAAGTGTCTTTTGGGTTCCTAGTCAAAGTATTTAGTGTCTATTCAAGACTCTTTGAAAGTTGTTTAGTAATTAATAGTAGTAATGAGTTATTTTGTAATGCCTATTAATATATGAAGAAATGAGATGATAAAGAAGATTAAGTTGATTAAAATTATTTGCAAGTGTGTCATGCTTGGAGTGAGTGATTCTTCCTTCTATCAAGCGTGTGGCTTGCTCGCGTTGAGTGGCATCCGCGATTAGTAACGTAGAGTGGCATCCGCTACCCCTTGGTTGAGTGGCATCCCAGGTACTATCCTATTCTAATTCCTTCATTGCAGGTATCAGCCTACACCAGATTGGTATCAGAGCAGGAATTTCCTGTTGTGGTGTCAATTTTTTTATCTCAAACTCTTCATATTCCATCCCATGTTCTTCTTTCAACCAACCATGCCTCTATGACGACAACGAAACAACCACAACATCAATAATGGTGATGTGTATGCAGAACTTAATGAGTTGAGACAATCTAATCAAGCACTTTAAGAGATGATAAATGAACTGCTCCAGCGAATTCCAACCCCTGGAAACCAAAGTCAAAGTGAAGGGAGTAGGCGATCTGGTTATCGTGATGATCTTGATTTTGATGGACATTCAACTACTTCTAATGCTATTCCAGAACCAGCCCTTGTTAACCCATGGTCTATGGATCGTTTGGCTCGTGCTTTAGAGAACATCGATCGAAATATTCAAGTTAATGTGCCAGATTTCGAAGGAAAGCTCAATGCAAATGCGTATTGTGACTGGATTGCATCATTAGAAGCCTTTTTTGATTGAAAAGAACTCTCGAATGAAAGGAAGGTGCAATTTGTTGCAACAAAACTAAAAGGTCATACTCTGATTTGGTGGCAGCAATACCAGCGAAGCAGGGATTAAAGGGAAATCTCATAAGTGTCCAAAAAAGAAGGCTGAAGTGCAACTAATGGAAGAAGAACAATAAGAGAAGAAAGAACCGGTTTATGACGATAAACTAGAAAGTCTTAAAAAGAAGCATTGTGATCCAAATTTTGATGCTGAAAGCCTTGTCATCTAACATGTCATGATAGCGCAAGAGGTTGATCAGTGGTTGAAACATAATATTTTCAGAACTTATTGTAACTCTTATGAAAAGAAGTATGTTTTAATGATTGATTCTGGGAGCTATGAGAACATGGTGTCACAAATCATGATTGACAGGTTGTAGCTAGCTTGTGAGCATCATCCAAAGCCTTACAAAGTATCCTGGTTCAAGAAAGGAGGAGAGATCATGGTCAATCAGTGAAGTCGCATCAAATTTTCTATTGGCAAGTATGAAGATGAAATTTATTTTGATGTTTTTCCCATGGATGCTTGTCATTTACTCCTTGGCAGACTGTGGCAATTTGAAAAGTATGTTCAGCACAATGGAAGAAAAAATACTTACACTTTTGTTAAAAATGGTGTGAAGTATGTGTTGAACCCATTGAAAGATGTTCCTACCACCGTACAGTCTACCAATCAAGTTAGTTTGTTGTCTTACAAAGAGTTCAAACAAACCTATAAAGAAGATGGGATAGCTTATGCTTTGGTTACTGTGGCAAATGTTCAAGGAGAAGTTCTTGAGGTTCCAGATGAGGTTGAGAAGTTGTTTCATGGGTTCAAAGGCTTAGCTCTAGATGAACTTCCAACTGGTTTACCTCCATTTTGAGACATCCAACACCAAATTGATTTTGTTCCAGGTGCAATCCTTCATAATTTACCTCATTATAGAATGTCCCTTGGGGAACATGCTGAAATGAAAAGACAAGTTGAGGACTTGTTGACAAAGGGACAGATTCGAGAGTCCCTTAGTCCATGTGCCATTCCAGCCCTCTTAACTCCTAAAAAGGATGGAACTTGGAGGATGTGTGTCGATAGTAGAGCTGTCAATAAAATCACAATTAAATATAGGTTTCCCATTCCTCGACTCAATGATATGCTTGATGAATTAGCTGGCTCTAAAACCTTCTACAAAATTGACCTTTGAAGTGGTTATCATCAAATCAGAATAAAAGAAGGTGATGAATGGAAAACAACATTTAAAACCAAAGATGGGCTTTATGAATGGCTTGTTATGCCATTTGGGTTGTCCAATGCCTTGAGTACTTTCATGAGGCTTATGACCCAAGTTTTGAAGTCATTTATGGGAAAATGTGTTGTGGTTTATTTTGATGACATTTTGATTTACAGCAGAAATAAGATTTAGCACTTGGAGCATTTGGCTAATGTGTTTACAGTGCTCCATGATAATCAGCTATATGTCAATCTAAAAAAGTGCTCTTTCATGGCTTATCGCATTGTCTTTTTAGGTTATGTTGTGAGTGAAGAAAGCATACATATGGATGGCGAGAAGGTGCGAGCTATCCTCGATTGGCCAACTCCTAAAAGCCCTACTGATTTGAGGAGTTTTCATGGTTTGGCTTCATTCTACCGTCGTTTCATTAAGAATTTCAGTAACATTATAGCCCCAGTGCTTGATGTTTTGAAAGCAAGACTTCCAGTGGACTGAAAGAGCTGAAAATAGTTTTCAACAGTTAAAAACCAAACTTTCAGAAGTTCCTGTACATGCGCTACCAGATTTCTCCGAGGCATTTCAAGTGGAGTGATGCATCTAATGTTGGCATAGGTGCTGTCCTTATGCAAGAAGGGTGGCCAATTGCTTATTTTAGTGAGAAACTCAGTGATGCAAAGCTGAAGTATTCTACTTATATCAAAGAGTTATATGTTGTTGTTCAAGCCCTTTGACATTGGAAGCATTATCGGATTGGTGTGGAATTCATTCTCTATCGTGACCATGAAGCATTGAGATTTCTTAAGGGGCAAAGGAAACTAAATTCAAGACATGCTGGTTGCGTATCTTATTTGGAGAAATTCTCTTTTGTTCTTCAACACAAATCAGGTGTGCCCAACAAAGTAGCTGACGCATTAAGTCGGAAACACAGCCTATTGACTACTCTTTCTTGTGAAATCACTGGCTTTGATCTTTCGCATGAGAATTATGCTAGTGATCCTATCTTTTCCAAAGTGTTGACTGATTTGGAAAATGCAAAAGGAAGAGACTACACGCTGATGAATGGCTATCTTTTTAAAGGAAATCAACTATGCCTACTTGAAGGTTCACTAAGGCAGTTAGTTATGCAGGAGTTACATAGTGGAGAACCAAGCTACAAGAAGTGATTCTGGGAAAGAGATAACAGAAGACCCGGTGTTGCATCTCATAAAAAGGTGAACATGGGCACAACCAGCTCAGGCCACCAAGGTCCTACCAACCCCCGAGGTGGCACTATTCCAACTTGCCCCACTTGTGGGAGGATTCATTAGGGGCAATGCCATCGAGACACGGGAGCGTGTTTTAGATGCGGACAATTTGGCCACTTGCTAAGGGATTGTCCAAAGATGGTTAATCCTACAGCCAGCCCCTCTGGCCCAGTCAGAAGACCCGCAGAACCTAGAGGAGAAAAGAAGGACCAAAACCGCCAAGATCGGGCTTTTGCCTTGGTACCTGGAAAACCAGAAGTCACCGAAAATGTTGTGTCAGGTACACTTTCTATCTGTGGTCTTTCAGCCCATGTCCTTATTGACTTTGGGTCAACTCATTCTTTTGTTGCACCACACTTTGCTGCCAAGTTGGCATCAACACCCGAACCATTAGGATATATATTGTCTGTGTCTTTTCCTTCCGGTAAGTCTGCCTGTAGTACTGATGTGTACAGATCTTGTGCTATATTCCTAAAAGGCAAAACCTTATACGTAGATTTGATTCCCCTCCGCATTGGGAACTTTGATGTGATCATAGGTATGGATTGGCTAGCTGCCAACCACGCCTCTATCGATTGTAAAGCCAAAAAGGTCTTCCGTAGGATACCAAACCAAACCAAACTTGTCTGTGATGGGACTGGAGTCTCTAACCCTCCCTCTATTATATCCTCTATGACAACCCAACAACTTCTAAGAAAGGGGTATGGTAGTTATATTTATTATGTAATCGATATACAAAAAGAGGCCCCCACTATTGATGCAATCCCTGTGGTTCGAGAATTTTCAGATGTTTTTCTTGAAGATCTACCTGGTATTTCGGTTGATCGGGAAATTGAGTTCACCATTGAAACCCAACCTGGCACACAACTAATATCAAAAGCTCCTTATCGCATGTCGATGACAGAATTGAAAGAGCTGAAGACTCAACTCCAGGAACTCCTGGACAAAGGTTTCATTTGGCCTAGTACCTCACCCTGGGGAGCTCCAGTATTGTTTGTGAAGAAAAAGGATGGCACAATGAGATTATGTATCGATTACCGGGAGCTGAATAAGGTTACTATCAAGAATCGATATCCTCTGCCGCGAATCAATGACTTGTTCGATCAACTTCAAGGAGTACAAGTATTTTCGAAAATTGACTTACGTTCTGGCTACCATCAATTAAAGGTTAAAACGGAAAGCATTGAAAAGTCTGCCTTCAGAACCCGTTGCGGACACTACGAACTTCTCGTTATGCCTTTTGGCGTCACAAATGCCCCAGCAGCCTTTATGGACCTCATGAACAGAGTGTTCAAACCCTATCTTGATGAGTTCATCATCGTCTTCATTGATGACATCCTCATATACTCCAAGTCACCAGAAGCTCATGAGCAACACTTGTGAATGGTTCTACAAACACTACGGGATCACAAACTTTATGCCAAGTTGAAGAAATGCGAATTTTGGATCACTAGTATATACTTTCTCGGTCACGTCATTAATAAAGACGGCATCTTGGTTGACCCTCAAAAGGTTGCAGCAATTGTGGACTGGCCACGACCTACTAATGTGTCAGAAATTCGGAGTTTCTTGGGTCTAGCTGGCTATTATCGACGCTTCGTGCAAGATTTTTCAAAGATAGCATCACCCTTGACCCAGCTAACTCAGAAGAACACACCCTTTGAATGGACTGATAAACAGGAGTGTTGCTTTCAAGAATTAAAAGGTCGACTTGTGTCAGCCCCTATACTAGCACTCCCTACCGGAGCAGATGGGTTCGTAATCTATAGTGATGCCTCATACAATGGGTTGGGTTGCGTTCTCATGCAAGACGGAAAAGTCATTGCTTATGCATCACGACAATTGAAGACTCACAAGAAGAACTACCCGACTCACGATTTGGAATTGGCTGCGGTGATCTTTGCTCTCAAAATCTGGCGTCATTATCTCTACGGTACAACCTACGAAATTTATGCTGACCACAAGAGTCTAAAATATCTATTCACACAGAAGGAACTGAATATGAAGCAACGGCGATGGTTAGAATTTATGAAAGACTACGATATAGAAATCCATCACCATCCGGGCAAAGCTAACGTGGTAATAGACGCACTAAGCGGAAAGTCAACGAGAAGTTTGGCATGCACTCTCGTTTCTCGCAAGGTCAATGGGTTGCTCGCCAATGTAACTGTGGAGTCTACATTGATCGAAGAAATTAAAGCACGCCAATGGGAAGATAAACTCTTAAAGCACGTAAATTGTGCAAATCACAAGTGAGAAAATCCAACTCATCCAACAGCGGATTCGCACTGCTCAAAGTCGCCAGAAAAGTTATGCAGATACTCGGAGACGAGAATTGGAATTTCAAGTAGGAGATCATGTGTTTCTCAAAATCTAACCAACAAGAGGAGTGATCTGATTCGGAAAGTGCGGGAGGCTAAACCCACGTTACATCGGGCCATTCGAGATACTGGAAAGAATTGGTCCTGTAGCCTATCGCCTTGCATTACCTCCTGAGCTATCTAATATCCACAACGTGTTTCACGTTTCAATGCTCCGACAGTATCTCCGAGATCCAGAACATGTCATCAACTATGAGAACTTGGAAGTTCGAGAAGATCTCTCTTACGAAGAACAACCAGTGCAGATTCTCGATCATCGTGACCAAATTCTCCGAAACAAGACCATACCACTGGTAAAGGTCTTATGGCGAAATCATCGTATCGAAGAAGCTACATGGGAAACCGAAGGACAAATGCGAGCTAAATACCCACACCTCTTTGAAAGTTAAGGTACGACAAGTTTGGGGATAAACTTCTAATTAAGAGGGGGGAAATGTGACACCCCGAACGTTTAATTAAGTACACATATATATTTAGAGTTATACATAATTATAGTGGCATGTAATGATAGACTATTAATTAAATAAATATATAAAAATTTAATTTGGCATTGGATTATAGGACTAATTGGGAATTATTATTTTCAAAATAACACATTTATGGAATTATAATATTAATTGGGTCAAACTAAAATAAATAATAATTTAACACCAAAATAAATGAATAAAAAAAAATAAAAATAAGCTAGTTGCCCAGCAAGAGTTGCAAGCTTCGGTCCAAAAGAAAAGAAAAACAAAAATAAATAATAAAAGTCTAAGTTAGTTTGGCCCAGCAATGGTTTTTAGAATTTGGCCCAAGCAGAGAAGAAAAAAGAAAAAAAACAAAAGAGGCCCAAGTGTGTTAAGCCCAAGTGGGAAGATTTATGTTTATCTCTAACAATGCAAATCTTATCTCAAATCTGCCATTAAGAACTCCACCCCCTAGCCTCATTATGCCTCCTGAGAGGGGGGGTACGTGGCGCTCCAGGGAAGCTTGGCTCACTATATAAATAGGGGTGAAGGTGATGAATCAGGAGAGGAAGAAACGTAAGAATAAAAAGAGTGGAAGTCGAGAGAGAGAGATACGTAAGTGAGAATGAGGAGTTGATAGTAGGCAAGTTTTGGTAGTAAAGTACGGCTAAGGGTTATAATTAAGGTGAGTTATATTATACCTTGATTTACCATTATATGTTTTACGAATGTTTTGAGTTACCATAACTTATTTTATACAAGCTATATTTTAAGTTATATAAATAAAAGTTATGTTTTATAAATATTTTAGTTACGTGGGTTACTTTTTAAACTCTATTTACTTAAAAGGAAACCCATGGATATGTTTGTTTAAATTTTAAAATATATTTGACTATAACCTTATAAACAATTATGTTTTGTAAAAATCACCACGGGAGTCCTACGCTTTGGGGGACTTAAATAACCACTGGCCTCTGTTTGACTACTTTGTGGTCCTCTGTTGTCGTGGATCCATTGACCTCTGTTCTGACTGTCACTTTGTGACCTCTGCTCTGTTTTGTTCTATACCGTGGTTATGATTATTACCTTACATGATTTCTGTATTCTGCCACTTTAAATAAATTGTCATTTTAAATTAAATTATGCAAATATTTTAGCCTGCTCATTATCCATGGTTATTTTATTCCTTACACTCTTGGCATAATATTTCTCACTCTGCTATGTGCTTGTAGCTGTTACCCTTTCAGGTGACGAGATGTAAAGGAAACTCATAACCCCATAAAATGGAACCTGCACATGAACTGATGTTGAATCACTATTTTATTTTTCTTTTTTATATTTTTGCTCCCTTTTGTTTCTATTCGGGGCTGGTCACTGAATAATAAAATAATGAAAGCCCTATAAATGTATTTCCTCTTTCTTAAATAGTAACATGACGTAAAATTTCTGTTTACTTATTTTTATTTTTGCTTGCGCAACTTAATTTGCTACGAATAAGAATAAGTTAGTAAGTTGCGATTCCAACCCTAAGCCCCTGGGGTTGGGTCGTGACATGTTGAGCAAGTAAATGGTTTCTCACGCTTGAATAAAAAAAATAAAAAAATAAAAAGATTCTCATGCGAAGTTGATGCATCCTTGGACGGTTTTGTTTTGCGCTTTTCAAAATGCCCTTTAAGTCTAGTGTTTCGTACACCTTTTGATCTCGCTTGTAGGGGATCCAACACTGACATGTTAGTGGTATCACACTGTATGACTTGATCTTTTTCAACATGCACATCTGTACCCAATCTTAACCTTTCAAACTCCCTTTCAATTTTTTCATCAAGTTCTATAAGTATCTTCTGGCAAATGTTCTTAAGGCTATCATTCCCTTGACTCTTGTATATAGTTGTATTAACTATACGTATCATACTATTACGCCATATGATCTCAGCCTCTTTTGCATTCGCAATGGAATTGGTACGTTGTTCATAAGCCATAATCCCTTTCTTGGCATCTTTTGCCCAACGTTTCAAAATATATTGACTTGGAATTGCAGTCAAATTTTTTACACTAAAAACCCTCAATGCATGACAACAAAGAACTCCTAATGATTCAAACTTCTTACAAGAACAAGAAATGTTGTTAGTGAGATGATCAAAGTGAACAATATGTACCCTTTCACTATTTTCTTCTTTCAACTCAAAGACATCAACTGTATCTTGACAATCAACTTGCTTCCACACCATTGCAAGACTATTGAGAAATTCATTTTCAAATAATTTAAATATCTTACAGGTGTAAACTTGAGCTGCATGACCCAAAATACCACTTTTTTTTACTACTTTTTGTAGGGCACCTTGCTTGCATCGAAAATCTTCATCCAACTTTGAAGAATGCATACAAGATGAAATAATATGTATTGTATTGAATGTATTGTGTTGAATACAATAGAAGGCCTGTATATATAGGTTGAGAAAGAGTATCATACTAGAAATCTAACTATAAGAAAGAGTATTCCATAAGAGATCTAACTATGGCAATACCTAATATATATAGGAATATATACCATATATACATTAACATCCCCCCTCAAACTCAAGAAGGGTAAACATTTTGAGTTTGGAGAGAGAAACTAAAACATGAAATAAAACTAAATAAAATAAAATGCAAATAGATTTCAAAATCTGAACGGGAGCGCAAGGGCCGCTTGAAATAGATCAGTGGCCAGAACTAAAGTCGGGAAACAGTTTATGATCATGTCGGACCATTGTAAGAACTGGCTGAAACTAATGCCAGGACAATTTAAGATCGTGCCGGACCAATATAAAAAACTGGCTGGCACTAACGTCGAGAGATAGTTTATGGTCGTGTTGGACCATGTAGGAATTGGCTGGAACTAACGCCAGGACAGTTTAAAGGAGACATGCCGGACCGATATAGGAGCTAACTGGAATTAATGTCGGGACAGTTTGAAGGGGTCATGCCGGACCGATGTAAGAGCTAACCGGAATCAATGTTGGAACAGTTTAAAGGGGTCGTGCTGGACCGATGTATGTCAGCAAGAGCACGATATTCAGCCTCAGTACTAGAACAAGTAGTAAGAGTTTGCTTCTTGCTACACCAGGCAATGAGAGAGTCACCCAAGAAGAAACAGAACCCTGTAGTAGAGCGACGACCAGTAGAGTCCCCTACCCAATCAGCATCAGAAAATGCACGTAATTGTAGGGAAGAGTGAGCGAAGTAGTGAAGACCATGAAACATAATGCCTTTGAGATAGCGTAAAATGTGAACTAGAGCATCATAGTGCGAACAGCGAGGAGCAGCCATGAATTGACTAACAATGTGAACAACATAAGCAATGTTTGGATGAGTAACCGTGAGATAGACAAGACTACCAACTAGCTGACGATATAAAGTAGCATTAGACAACAGGTGGCCGTCAAGAGGTGTGAGACGAGTCTGAGGATCAACGAGAGTAGAGGCAATCTTGCAATCGGTAACACTAGCACGAGCCAAGAGATCAGAAGTATACTTGGCCTGGGAGAGAAAGTAACCAGATGGATCATGAGAGATTTCCAAGCCGAGAAAATAGTTGAGAAGACCCAATCTTTCATCTCAAACTAGCGACTGAGAAACTGTTTGAGACTAGAGATACCCACTGTGTCATCTCCAATGATGATCATATCATTCACTTGAAGAAGAGGAATAATAGTACCACGCTCTGTCTTACAAAATCATAGGCACTGGAGGAGAATCCAAAATTATGAATAGTGGAGCTAAACTTGGCGAACCAGGTATGATGAGCTTGTTTCAAACCATACAAAGCACGGCGAAGTTTACAGACTTTGGAGGAAGGCCCAGAGGAACTAGGTGAAGGTTGCATATAAACTTCCTCAGTGAGATCGCCATTGAGAAATGCATTCTTCACATCCATCTGATAAAGTTTCCAGTGGCGAGCAGCTGTAACGGCAAGTAAGCTACGAACAGAAGTTAGACGGGCAACAGGAGCAAAGGTTTCTTCACAGTTAAGATGAGCTTTGTAACGCTTAATAGAACCATCAGAATGAGTCTTGAGCTTGTAAACCCATTTGCAACTAACAATACTTTTGCCAGGAGGAAGATCAACCACATCCCAAGTATGATTTTTATCAAAAGCTTGTAGTTCATCAGTCATAGCTTGCTACCAAAGAGAGTTAGAACAAGCCTCTCGATAGGAAGTAGGTTCATGAGAGAAAAATGCAGTAGAACTAACAATGAAATCACGAAGAAGGACAGAAGGTTGTGTTACTCAAGTAGAATGACAAAGAGGTACCTCAGAAGTAGAACCAGGAAGTAGAGTAGGAGTCTCAGGATGGACGAGAGGTAGCATGGC